TGATATTTTTTCGTTCCTCGCGAAACGCTACTCAGACTTTCGTTGCGTACCAGCGGCGTACCTAAATGGCTTTGCGTACCAGCGGAGTGCGATTAACGTACCAACGGCGTTCCTTAATGCGCCCTACCAGCGGCGTACCGTCTTTTGGCGAGCGGCGTTCCATCAACCCAAGCAAGCGAGCGGCGTCCCATCACATTACCCCACGCTGTAAGCGTAAGCCGTACCCGTATGGGATACGACGCAGTGGTTGGGCCGCCTCAGCATTTTAGTGGTTAGCTAACACTTCTCGGCACTTGACAAAGGAATAAGATTGAGTTGTTGTTCCCATTAAGTGACCTGATAACAACTCAGCTGGGTGTTGCAGGGGTGGTCCACAATCCCTGATTTCGATTCAATGAAGTCCATCGATCGAAATAGCAGGAAATTTTGCGCTGATTTCGGCTTCATAAAATATGACGATATAGCAATTTTCAAACCAACTAATGCTACAATTAGTACGTAATCAAAAATTGGGTGAACATGCGGTTTGAAGGCGTACCCTCTTGGCGTACCAGCGGCGTACATTCTCCTGCCAGCGGAGTTCCACAGCGTACCAGCGGCGTGCGACTGCCCTACCAGCGGCGTTTGCATGCTGCGCTCAGAGGACAGTCGAACGCCGCTGGTACGCAACGAAAGTCGGAGTAGAGGCACCGGAGTTCCTCCATGTAAGAGAAAATGCCAAGATACGATCTAAAAAATTTCTAGAAGACGAAAAGCACAAATATATGCAGAGAAAAGAATCAGACAAAAATTGAAAATCGGAGTGTTTTTACAAAACTGCCGCAAAATTGTTGGTCATTAGTGCACTTGCGGCATTAATCATGCTGGTGGGTAGACCCTGCTATGTCGTAAGCGTGTGGCAAATCTGGGGTTTTCAGAAAGCTTTTAGAATTTCATAGAAAAATTGGAAAAAAGTGTAACAGAAATTATCCGACAACCTAATAGTAATATCGTATTATGATGAAATTGCTGTATCTCGCTCCACAGAAATGCTAGTAAAAAAGACAATCTGTGTCCTTTTCTCGTATCAACAGTTGGTGCACAAAGCTTTACCGTGCCATAAAAGTCTTGCACCGCCGACACATAAAAGCCAAGCCATTGAGGGTTCGGGTGGCGCAAGCCTCATAGACCATTATTTTGAAAAGTGACTGCCCCACGATCCTTCAAGAAAGTTCTTTGATATTCAAATAATCCTTGATTTTTGGAAAAAAACAACGACTGCCCTATGTGCCGCTCACAGACAGCTTATTTATTTATTTGTTAGTCTAAATTTATGTGCAATCTCCATTTCTTACAACTCCACCTTAATCTCTTCCCATCATCACGTCGGAAACCCCGTTCAAATCAACTGCATTTCTCTGCAGTTTTCTACACCGTACCTCAGCTACTTTCAAGCTCGAGGACGAATTTATTCAAAGCCATGATATTCTACGGAAAGGTCGCGGCTGCTCGCAGTCCACTGGATCCGTATTCTTGAATCTACTATGTAACTTCAATATGCTTACTTGTAAAGGATGGATGCCCTGGTATCTATAGGTCATAGCCAATGATTATTGAATGTTGATCTCGACCATGTATCTTGTACCGTGGCGGCTATAAATAAGGCGCCCGGCCGTTGTTTTAGTTGTTGTATTTGTCTGTCATCTAGTCTTCTAATAAATCCTGATAATAGGAGTCTTGTCGTCGGTGTCGGTGCTACGAGGAGTGCGGTCGGTTCAAATCGAGGAGCCAAGCCGAGGAGACGTGGACGCGCCGATCGTGTGGAGGATCGTTCTTCAATAAAGGAATTACATCATACCCCTGGACACCACGCCGAGCCCCCGCAATAGCGCCTAGCGTAGGCCAACTATTGCCTGACAAAGAAGGGAGATCCAGTCTCTTCTTCTTGACATACTACTTCAATTTGTATGTTCTCGCCGTATATTACGTGCATACACCAACGCATGTTACCCGGAAGAACATCAACCACGCTAATACCGACTAATCTGAAACGTCAACCATATCATAAGCGCTAGGACGAGCTTTTCGAAGAAATGGAGATGTCGGGTCTATGAGAGCTTTGGGCGAGCTGTAAAGCCCCGCCGGATGACAGTAACCCCCGATGACCGCTATCCAGCAGATATACTAGTGCAGTTCACGGCATAGATGGTTTACCAAGCAACCTGGATATCGTTTGTGGGAGAAAAAGCAAAGGGGATATCGTTTTTCCGGAGTAGCATACCGCTGCCTTTCGATATGCGATCTGCTGCCGCCGGCACGATACCGGTATCCCGGCGGTATGCTCTACCAAATAAACAAAGGGCTTGTTTACAACGAAGTGAAAAAAATGACACCAAAATTGGTGTGTAGACGGGCAATGAGGAGTTTAAACTATGTGTAAAAAGTTATGAAAAAATTATGTGAGCTGAAGGCGTGCTCAACTTTTTTCGGAGTTAGATGGCTTTCAAGCCACCTGGGAAGCCACCTGAGGTGGCTTGACAAAGAAAAAATCATATTTTCCCTCCCTCACATAATTTTTTCACCCTCTTCACATGATTTTCATCTACATCCCAAGCCCTACAAATTGATTCCTGACCGCATGAAACCCCCTCCTCGCTTAGTTACAACCTCTTGAAAATTTTGAATGGCGGCGGCAACGCTGCTCCAGTTGCGTAGTGCTGCGCGCTAGGTACATTATGCCGCCAATCCGGAGAATACCAATATCATCGCGTTTGTTTGATGCTTATTTGGCGTTTTTTTGTTTTGTATTGTTTCGTTCCTTTCCATGTGTTCTTTCTTATGATATCTCATGGCGGATGTCGTACTTTTATAGCGAAATCAAAGGGAACTTTGTTTTGTGCAATTTCGAGGAGCCACGTCGTGCCGAGCCCTGTACTAGTGTTATGTACTACCACGCTACACATCAAGTGAAGGACCTGCAGACCTTCATCCAAATATTTGGATTAAATGCGGATAACGTAGATGTCAAAATTTCTAACTTAACGTCTCGAAAAACTCTGCTTTGAGAAGATATGAAGCGATCGACTTTGCTTGAAAAGTGAAGAACAGATCTTGTAGAACAGGATTGGCTTTTTGAACGGTACAAATACCTGGCCGTTAACTGACCATTTTGTCAGATAACGACCGCACAAGTGACGATCTAAAATAATGTGATCTTCCCTAAAATTAGAAAAAACTAGCAATTTTGCAATCAGCATGCCCACTCACCTCCTCTTCCCAGCCCCGTAGGTGAGACTATGCAAAAAAATCGATAAAATCTATTATATTAGGTCGTTCCGAAAGTTCTTTCCGTTTTTTCAACCTATCATAAAAACACGTGGAACGAAGATAGGGAAACGCTTCAGGCAATGTCCGATGTCTTATTCTTTTCAACTGCCATATTCCTGTACTGCTCGCTCTTTTGTTCAGTGAGATAATGGCCGCAATTTCGGACCCATGCTTTTACCATGTCCAACTTTGGCAATTTTTCACTATTTTCTTTTTTGACTTTTGGAAAAGCTTTGATAGCAGTCGGATAGTGTAAACAAAGTGCAATTCTATGCAATTTTCCGGCATCTATAGCTAGCCTTGAAAAATTTTTAGACTCATTTTTCTGATGCTATCAAATTCCACTTTTGGGGATGCCAAAAGCCATAGAACATGACATGACGCACAACTAAGGCGTCATTCGATGCAGCTTTTTCTCCTCTTTTTGATGAGTGTTTTTTCTTCCCGGCTTGTGGGGATTTTGGCGATAAAATTTCCATAAATCTTGATTTTGAACCCGACTCATGATGTACACGTGAAATGCGAAATCTTATATTTCGAAGCGGTAAACGCTCAGTGACTTTGTAAAAATAGTGCACAATCATAAACTCGAAATCCGAAGATTTGTTAGTGTTTGAAGCGTTTGTGTATTTTGCGGCTTCGCAAAAATGAAAACTGGAAAAGTTATTTTAAAAATTACTGAGAAGCCAGTCGATACTGCCAAAAAATTACATTGCATTGCACTTTGTTTACTCTATCTGAGTGCTATCAAAGCTTTTTGTAAAAATAGTGCACAATCATAAACGACTTCTAAAGTTTCGAAATCCGAGGAATTGTTAATGTTTAAAGCGTTTATGTGTTTTGTGATTTCGAAAAGTGAAGACTTTTGGAAAAATCATCTTACAAAATACTGAAAAGCCAGCTTAAATTGCCAAAAAATTGCATTGCATTGCACTTTGTTTACACTACCTGATCGCTATCAGAGGTCATCCAAAAGTTGAAGAGGAAGATTGTGAAAAATTGCCAAACTTGAACACAGTAAAAACCATGGGTTCGAAATTTCGGCGATTATCTGAGTGTACGCAAGAGTAATCGGCATAGGAACATGACAGTTAGAAAGAAGAAGAAAAGTTGCGTCGGGTAGTGCTTTAAGCGTTTCCCCATCTTTGTTTCACGTATTCTTATGATAGGTTGAAAAAACGGAAAAATTCTTCGGAACGACCTAATATATCGCAATGACAAGGAATAGCCTGCGATTGCCCCGACCTGAATAGTATGTGCCCGAAGTTTAGTCGGGATCGGTCCAGAAATATACATTCTTATATAGAGCATACGTACAGACAGACAGACGATAAGCAGACATTCAGATTTATTATACACAGATCAAAAGAAAATTGCGCCGCACAACTCGTCTGCATTTTCTATATTTTCTAGTATGCCCAAATCTATGGGAACCCACCAAGTACATAAAAGGGTAAATGCAATTAGGAGCATACGTACAGACAGACAGACGACACCAGAGTTTACGATGTCGCGACTTTCATTGTTTGCGGTATATTTACTTCGAAATTTTGTCAGAATCAATTAACAAAAGTTTTATTTAACTTTGCTGCATCGGACTCAAGGTGAGTAAGTTAATATTATTCTGAAGATAAGATGTAGTTTTAATAAGAAGAGTTTTTTTCATTTTTGTGTCTTTCACTATCACATTGCAGACGGGGCCTGTGAGAACGGGCTTGGAGATGACGAAGCTCAGGCAGTGCTCAAGCTGATCAATGAAGCACGTTCAAGTCTGGCCAAAGGAGAACTCGAGGGAAACGGAGATTATTTCACGGCAGCTAAGAACATGAACAAACTGGTCTATTTAAAAGCAGATTTTTCCAATTTCCTTTTTAAACAGACATTTAGCAATAAGTAGGAAAAGTGTTTGCAGGCTACACTGTTGAGAAAAGCGTTTGTACTAAATGCATTTTGACTTTCAGGCTTGGAGCTGCGAACTTGAGTCACATGCAGCGAAACTGATTGGTTTTTGCAATATGCCGCTTCCTTCTGATATCCCAGCTATCGCAGATGGTCTCGGCTGGAGTCACGTGTGGTAGTACCTATTCCTTTAGATACTGTCTCTGCTAAAAAAAATATTCGGCACCGCTTCTTATCTCTGTGTCCTCCAGTTTTTCTACAAAAGCAATAATCCTCTCATTACCGCGTTTGCTTGATTAAATCATCAAAAAGCTTATGGAAGAGATATCTATTACTAATAGGGCGTGACTACTTGGTCACAGTGGCAGTACGGAATATGATGCAATTAAAATATATTTTGTACTAAAATTTTTGGAGAGGAAATTGCACTTTTTCTTGCAAGCGTAAATAAAGTGTGGCTCACTGTAAGTGCCTATATCACTTAAGGATAGAAATGACGTCTTCAGTGTCTCAAATCTCAGCCCCAAAGGATTAACGTAGCAAATAATTTGAGCATGTAGTTTCGCAAAAATAATTTTTTCTTGCCAGTGTACACTGTTTGAGCTCGTTTTTTGATGTTATTCAAAATAATATTTACCAGGATTAGAATAGTATAGCAAAACAGAATTACAATGATTGTATTCAACAATTTTCACTGCTTAATCGCCATGGCGCAGCATGTTCTCCTGACCAATATGTGGTCAGGGGAACATGCTGCGCCATGGCGATTAAGCAGTGAAAATTGTCCAATATGTCCATAGATCACGAGTACCTCATGAGTTGAATATTGTGTTACCAATTTCTAAAAGAGTACTAGTAATGATTTTCGCCTCTAAATGCGATAAGAAGAGACTTCTGAATGAGTGTCTGCTTTAATAACGCATTCGTGCAATACATTCATTGGACATGATTTATTGAGGTAGACAAAACTGGGAACTATTAAATCTTTGATTTATGTTATTGTGAATAGATGAAGGCGACGCAATAAAGGAAGCGTATGCATATTCATGTGTTTATGTCTGTTTATGTGTTTATGTCAGCGCAAGAAAATGAAACAAACCTAAAATGTTTCGAAAAGCTAAAACATAGGGTGTTTGCTATCGCAAAGAATTGGTCATCTTTACACTATGTAAGTAATCTCACAAATGTTATTCAGGGAAGATCACGAACCGGGAGACCCTGCTATAGAAATTGTGGACATGGTTCAGTCGATACTTAATCTTAAATTAATTACGGATCCTAGGGGTCTGAGCAATTACTCAGACAATGGTGCACCATCCTTTCCTAACGTGAGTCTTCCATTAAAAATTTAGTGAACTAAATGGCATCTGACTCGACCTAAATGTCTGAAAAGATGGAGGAAAGAGTTGAGGAACTTACGCCGTGTCTAATGTCAATGCAGACTGAACATCGAGGGCCTTCTTAGAGTCATTCGGCTTGAAATTCAGAAAGTCTCATATTCTGCACTACAGCCTATAAAGTGGATGTAGTCCTTAGCTTACCTCCAACCTCCAAACATCGCTCTACCTCATGTTTGTTCCAACTGCAGCAGCATAGCGCGAATATTAGTGATTTGGGAAAACGGGCAAGAAAATGCTGCGTGTAGTGTTCATAACGTAAGCAACTCAAAATGTAAATTTCTCGCCAATGTCGAAACTTCCTTTAATTGCACATATACGACATCTTACAAGGGAACCTTGTTTAATCGAAGTGGATTTTTTAAATGAAATGTATACCTATTGGAGAGCATAAAATACTGATTTCAAATCTGCATTTCTTATCTGCGGAAAGTTCGTGGACGAGAAGTTATGAGAGTTTATTAAATTACATGTGCAAATAGGATAAAAATTGTCGCAAAATTCTTTCTAGAGCTTTAATGGAGCAGTAATGATTACCAAAGCGCTTTATTCAATAGATACTTTTATATAAAAACAAAGATCACACTTGGTTGCCTCATTTGAGAACTAGGGAGGTTTTAGCAACACATTTTATCCTAAAAGAACTTTTCTTTATTACTTCAATAAACTCCCATAACTTCTCGTCCATCAATGTTCCGCAGATAAAGAAGACAGATTTGGAATCAGCATTTTATGTTCTCCAATATGGTGTGCATCTCACCTGAAAAGGCCACTTCGCCTAAACAAGGTTCCGTTGTTAGCTTTGTTTATATTACTGGAGATATATATATATATATATATTTAGTTGATGCAAGCTGCAGCTACGAAATTGGGCTGCACAATCCAGCATTGTCCACCATTATATGATGACTATGATGAGTCTGCCAGTGTATTATGTCTAACGGACCGAACGTAAGCTATATACTCATACAAAGTAAAGTTTGCGAGCAAACTTTTTTATATCTCTTTGCCTACTTGATGAAGCAATCGGATTTATCACATTTGTCTCCACGTTTCAACTACGATAGAGAAAGTTAACCACCTTCTTACGACTTTACTGAACTTGGCGTTTCTCCATCCCACTGTAATGACTGGTAGCTTAGTAAGCCTGTTTTCAACATGATTAATACATTGTTCAAGAAAAAGCGCTTTTCAGCTTGTTCATGCAAAAAGAGAAAATAATGCGCTTGTTTGGCAACTCATATTTCCAGTAGTTGTGTCATATTTGGTTAGCTCAGAGATTTAGATTGACGGACGGCTCTGAAGTTTATACAGAAGGGAGTGCTGATGACTGCGAATGCTCAGGAGATCGTGTTTGTAATCCTGTCACTATGATGTGTGAGGTGCCTACCGCGACTTCTACTACAAGCACTACAATCACCACTACACCCACTGCGACCTCTACTACTATGGCTATAAAACCTTCTAGTAACGCAGTGTCACCTTTCTCTACAAGAGGTAAGTAGTAGACTTTTGCAGTTGTTTGAATAAGTCAGGAAACAAGTTAGTTGATGAGATTCGCCCTCTAATCTTCAGCAACATGATGTTGGAAAGCGATAGAGCGTACTTTGAAGACTAGCTTCGAAGTCTCAAGCCATAACTACAGCATGCCTTCAAAGAATGTAACAAACGATGATAGCCGATGACTCTTGTGTTTAAGTAGCAAATGCAGAAATTCAGAATTCAAGTTCATGTGTAGGACTAAATCCAACCTACATTTGCATTGAAAATTGAATCACATTGCCCTTCATCTCGACTAGCTGGCATACCCGGCTTCACCCGGCCCTGTCAACGCCATGATAAATGTTACCATCTTGTTCGTGTGCAACAATCCCCTTCCCAACCAACTTTTACATGCCGGTTCCGTATTCTCACCATGTTAAGCAGTCAACATGCTAACTTACCCTCTGTGCCAAACTTCAGCCTGGTAGCTCAAACGTTGCGAAAATCGATGAGAAGCGGTGAAATTGAAATTGATCGATGATGAAAGGTAGCCTACCCGAATCGGTTCGGAAATAAGGTCTTCTATTTGAAACATACGTAAACACAGACATACAAATAGACGAACAGACACACAAACAGACCTTCAGCTATATACAGGGTGTCCCAAAAAAATGTGCCTACTGTTTGTTTGTCGGGAAGCTTCGGAAAGCTTTAGGTACCATTTTGTAGAGCGAGGTTAAACTTAGATTTACAGCATGGAGCGAGTCACCGATCGCTCTTTGTTACTGTAGGATTACGGTAAGAACTTCCAGCATATGGGACCATTGTTAAAAATACCAGCTAACAAAATTCTGTCAAAAAATCTGAAAAATCGTGTACTAGAGTTTTCGCGCATGCTGATTCCACCTAACAACTTTTTACGAGTGTTTTCAGCTTTTTTGACAGTGTAACTACATTTTTGACAAACGCTGAGAATTGAGTTATTACGATTTACCGGGGATAACTTAGGAAAGAAGCATCACAGTAAAGTGGGAATTTCAAATTCGAAATTAGCTGCTCCCATTACCGTAGTATAAGAGGTTTTGGTCTTGTTTGATTTTGTTCCAACGCAGAATATGGCCTCCAATGGCCTAAAAACCTTGTCGAAGTTCGTACCGTAATCCTACAGTAATGAAGAGCCTTGGGTGATTCTGTCCATACTATTAGGTTGTCCGGAAATTAATGCCCGTTTTGCATTTCAACCGCAATAAGTCATACACTCTTCATTTCTAGATATATTGCAAAGTACCATTCAATAGAGCAAAGTAAGCTCTACAAGTTGGCCATCTTGCTTTTGCAATAGCTCTCATCCATCTCGAGTTTCGAGCCAAAAACTAAAAAGACTCAGCAGTCCGAAAAATCGAAAAAAATCGTAACTCAGTTCATAAAAAACCTACAAAAATTCTAACTTGTTCACACAAACACTATCCACATAAGACATCAATATACGCCGTTGCCGTATTTTTTTCTCTGTTAGAAACCAAGAAAACGGAAATTTTCATGCATTTGCCAAAGTGATGCTGTGCCGTCCCCACATAGGTAGTTGTATACCACAAGCCTGTAGAAGTACAATTGTAAATTTCCAGCTCCCTACAAGCTTTAGTTCTCGAGAAATTTGAATTTTAGCTTGGACCACCTAACTAGGGAAAGCTATATTCGGTTTTTCTCGAGAACTAAAGCTTGTAGGGAGCTGGAAATTTACAATTGTACTTCTACAGGCTTGTGGTATGCAACTACCTATGTGGGGACGGCACAGCATCACTTTGGCAAATGCTTAAAAATTTCCGTTTTCTTGGTTTCTAACAGAGAAAAAAATACGGCAACGGCGTATATTGATGTCTTATGTGGATAGTGTTTGTGTGAACAAGTTAGAATTTTTGTAGGTTTTTTATGAACTGAGTTACGATTTTTTTCGATTTTTCGGACTGCTGAGTCATTTTAGTTTTCGGCTCGAAACTCGAGATGGATGAGAGCTGTTGCAAAAGCAAGATGGCCATCTTGTAGAGCTTGCTTTGCTCTATCGAATGATACCTTGCAACCTATTTAGTGGTGAGAAGTGTATGACTTAGTGCGGTTGAAATTTAAAACGGGCATTAATTTCCGAACAACCTAATATATGCCGTTCAACCTCGCTCTACAAAATGGTACCTAAAGCTTCTCCAAACACTTCATTACAAGAGAGTTATTAACAATCAAACAGTAGGCACATTTTTTTGGGACACCCTGTATAAGACTAGCGACCTGTAGGGTCGCTAGCCAGCAGGTGGAGCAAATTCATGGAAAAATGCTATTATAGATTTAGAAATATCATTCTCCACTTCACCCTATGCATGCACAGTTGCTCTCAAAAGCGAGTTCTTTGGAAGTCTTCTCAAAATTCTTTCGGCAAAGGGTGATATTTCCTTAAAGTAGTGCAGTCTGCGCGAAGAATTTTTCACCGCATAATTGCTCTTTGAAGTGAGTTGTTCATTTTCTCAAGAATTTGCTCGAAAAATGGATGGAGCACTCCTAAGATAGTAAACGTTTTGCGTAATGCTGTGCACTCCCCTCCCACACCACAATTTTGGAGAGAAAAATGAATTTGCTAAGCAATTGCTCTTCAAAGCAAGTACTAGAGTTGAAGAAGCAAAAGAGTTTATCCATACAATGAGCATTTTCTGAAAAACGCGCTTTTTAGCTTTTTAAAGCTAACTCTAAATCTGATTTTTATATCATTGGTAATTAGTTAATACACGCATATCCTTGACAGGTTTTCGTGGACTCTTACCAGGTCCTCTCCGCAGCGCTCGCTCTCCTAATTGTCTCCTGCGGTTGCAGGCGACAAAATTTTGGCTTTTTGCAGCGCATCCGGCTTATCGATATTTTTTGGTTCCCACTTGAAGGCACTTTTCACGCAAATTTCAGGTAGTGAGATTTTGATGTTTTGTGATAGAGGGGAGCGTAAGTGAATAATCGCCAACGAAATCCTAAAAAAACTTATTTTCAGCTCTTAAATGCCCCAGTTATTACAGGATTTCAAAAGCCAAATTCACCATTGTTGTGCCGCTTACACACCAATATCTATTATATTTGATAATTAATCTCTGTGACTTTGAATGTGTTAGAGGTATGGCCCATAGGCTCTGCATCATCATGTCTTTCTGCGTATTCAAATGAACTTCATTGCTGCGATACTACTGACAATGAGCCTCTTCTTCCCGTCTTATATATTAGGTCGTCCCATAAGTCTTTTCATGTTCGAACCGTCAAATCATTATTTCTCAGGAACAGAGCCTGGCACAGATCGTCTGGAAGCAGGCTGGACTTCGTTTTTGAAGCAAAAAGCAAAGGAGATATCGTTTTTGACGAGTAGGGGAGCACCAAGAATAAGCGCCATTTAGTCGAACACAAGCTTTTCGGACGGGTTATCACACGATTGGCATGCTCTATCGTATATGGCGAAAAGTGCGCGCGATTTGAAAGCAAGGCTAAAACAAACAAATTGCTTGTTTGCAGCGTAAACACAAGCTTTTGACACCAAATTTGTACCATATAAGTAAAATATCATTTGAGGAAGGTCTATGTAAAAAGTTTTGAAAACTTATGTGAAGTTATACCTTTTCCAAAATTAGGTCGTCTCCAGACGGCCACCAGACGATCTGAGATCGTCTGGAGCATATATTAGGTTGATGCAAAAGTTCTTTCGCACCAAATTTAAAAATTCATAACTTGTTGAATTCTCAACGAATCTACTCTTTGCAAATGTACTTGAACTGTTCGTTAATGTTTACAAATGAAGGAGATAGAAGCTCAAAACCAAAATCACTCAAAATTTGAATTTTTTGTGTAGGTTCATAAGAAATCGGAAAATTCCAACAAAAATCGGGGCAGTCAGTATTGTAGGTTCTTTCGCAAGCTCTTTCTAACGGTGTAAAGTTTGCGCTGATTGAGCGTCTCTATGAAAAGTTATGATTTTTCTGAAAAATGCCAAAATAAATCAAATTCGCCTTTTTGTATTGCTTGCTCGAAAATCATAACCAGGGTCAAGCAAGGGGTGTGGCACACGATCGCTGGTTACGACCCCCCCCCCCTGATTGCTGTCTTAATAGACCCCTTCCCTGGATTATATACCTAAGATAGCATTACCTGAAGGCCCTGTCAAACATAATGGGCAACATATTCATAATGAGCATGTCAATTAACCCCTGTACACAAAGTTTGAGCGAATTCTGAAAATTCAAGATACTAGGCTACCTAAGTGAAATGGTCATATTCCAACATGGTTGACTTTGTTTCAAACGTGAATTAGCTATCCGTTTTCGCACTTAAGACAAAGCACTTCTCCTTCTTTGTCCATATCAGAAATCCCGCCTCAAAAGACCTCCAGACTGTGGAATTGGAAGCCAACCAAAATCTAATCTTTCTCATTTTTCGCTTTTAATGGCTGTGCTTTCACCAAATATTACTCAAAGCTAAGAAGACGAATCAGGCTTAAAACATTTCTATGAAATCTACGAGGTTTAGGCTATCGATTCATATAAATACTATTGTTCGCTAAAAAGGTTTTTTTGATATAGTTAATGGGGTGTGGCACACCCCCTTAAAAGCTGTGGCAGCTGCAGCTTTCAAGAGGGCCGCCGCAGCTTTTAAGGGGGTGTGCCACACCCCATTAACTATATCAAAAAAATATTTTTAGCGGACAGTATTTATATGAATCGATAGCCTAAACCTCGTAGATTCCATAAAGATGTTTTGATCCTGATTCGTCTTCTTAGCTTTGAGTAATATTTGGTGAAAGCACAGCCATTAAAAGCGAAAAATGGGAAAAATGAGATTTTGGTTGGCTTCCAATTCCACAGTTTGAAGGTCTTTTGAGGCGGGATTTCTGATATGGACAAAGAAGGAGTAGTGCTTTGTCTTGAGTGCAAAAACGCTAATTCACCTTTGAAACAAAGTCAACCATGCTGGAATATGACCATTTCACTTAGGTAGCCTAGTATCTTGAATCTTCAGAATTCGCTCAAACTTTGTCTACAGGGGTTGATTGACATGCTGATTATGCATATACTCGTTAAGCTTCCTACTCTTTATTAAGCTAAGGTAGTCAATATCTCATGCGTTTTTATTTCGCATGGTGGGGTCACCTAAACCCTAACGAATATCACTATTATCAGATTACCCAACTACGACCCCCTCCCCTTTTAACTCCTCAATACGACCCCCAGGTGTGGCGTGCCACACCTCACGCTTAACCCTGATCATAACTTTACATAGAAACACTCAATCGGCGCAAACTTTGCACTGTTAGAAAGAGCTGGTGAAAGAACCTACAATACCGACTGCTCCGATTTTTGGTACAAGTTTCCGATTTTATATGACCCTTCGCGAAAAATTCAATTTCTGAGTGATTTTGGTTTTGAGCTTCTATCTCCTTTTGTAAACATTAACGAACAGTTCAAGTACATTTGCAAAGAGTATGAGTTCCTCTCTTAAGCAAAATTTAGACCTTGCAGATTTGTTAAGAATTCAACAAGTTACGAATTTTTGAATTTGGTGCGAAAGAACTTTTGCATCAACCTAATATTTCCGTTACTTCACATAAGTTTTGGTTTTTTCAGCATGGATGGATTCCCTGGTCTAAAATCTATCTTACAGCATAAAAACATTTTCATATAGTTGCCTTTTTATTGTTTTTTGACTCGTTTTCTTTATGAACTGCTTTGTTAGATATCGCGCTCTGATGCCAAATTCTTGCGCATCCGCAGAATTCAACGCCACTTTGTATTTTCACTCTTATTTCAGGGTTTTCTTTACAAACTGGTGAATCTTTCCTATTTTCATCTTCCACCAACTCGATAAGTTTCTTACAAGGGTCAAAGGGGACTTCGTAAATTTTTCGAAAGTCAGGGGGAACTTCGTTTCCAGAAGCTCTAGAAACCGACTCGTGCCGGGCCCTGCTCAGGAACTAGGGCATCTACAAGGTTGAAAATTTGTGACAGTATTTCTGAGTGACTAAGCTATATAACCACATATTTGCGAGCAACACGGAACCGCTACAGGCAAAGTTTTAAAATTTAGCTCATTATATTTTTCATGATTTCTGGCCATCGGAAAAATGCGGCAAGTGCATGTATAATTATCCGATGAGGAGAGTATATGCGTGAGCAAGTAGGAAATCTGCAGAGTTGCTTTGACTTGAGATATGACAATTTTCGTTTTTTCAGGAATTTGGAAAAAATTTTATTTTGGCTTGCAAGGTATGCGGAGAAAGCTTTGTGCGAATTTTTGAATGCCATCTTGTAGAGCTTGCTTTAATATGTCTAATGATGCCCCGCATCTTATCAGAAACACAAGAAGAGCTGACTTATGATAATGAAAAGCCAGATATGAAAAGACTTATGGGACAACCTAATATTTTAGTGCTGCAAACCCATATTTAACCACTAAAATTCCTTTTACAGAAGCACAATCGAATATAATACAGTCCACTAGTCCACAATCCTCTACAAGTTCGCCATGTGCTACTGCATCTACGAAAAGGACAAAATCAACAATGCAGTGCATCACAACGCCACGTTGTGCCACCTATCCTCCGCAGGCAAAGTCAAGGAAAGCGAGAGCTGCAAATTTTGGAGAGGTACCGTAATTTGTGTGGTTACGGTAAATATCATTCTCCAAATCTGTTTTCTTTTCAGACATTTTCTGGAAAACTAAAAAGGCACATGTCACAGAAGATGATGAAAAAGATAGACACCGTTGGTGGGTTCGTGAATGCGCATAAAAAGAAGCCGATAAGTTAAGAAGTCATTGGCTGTAAATTAATTCTATATTTAATATTTTCTTTCTTTCCAAACGTGTCGTGTTGGAAAGTTTTATTTGCTGCTTTTACATGAGTAAAAGTGGAGTGAAATTGCAATAAAAGCATATTTGCATTTTTGTCATACATGTAATTTCTTTTGAAAGATCAATTTACCGCTGAGCCGCAGAATGACACTACAAGCGAAGTATCAGTTCAAGATGATATTTGCGCTGGAAAAAAGTTATTGAGCATTACAACAGCTGTTGAATTCGTCGATGTCCCCAAGAAAAACGAAAATCTGTGGTTGTTAGTGCTTTCGTGGTGATATAAAAGTGAAAGAGTGAAAGCCATTACAGGAAGATCCAACATCGTTTGCAAAATTGAAGGATAACTTTATCAAAAAAGTTTTACAGCTTCAGTGAAAGTAAGCCCCAAAAGTTTCTTCGAGTCTGGCATTCGCTTTTTTTACGTCCGTCTCTTTTGACATTGCCTGCGTTAATCTCCTTAATTTTTCGGACAAGAATTCGAAAGAAAGAAAATAACAAATAACGAAAAGCTAGAACCGCTGAAGCATAAAAAAAAACACTCTTTGCGCCTTCCTACCAGATTAACGAAGAGCAAAATGGTGACAATATTATAGTTTATAGTGGAAAAGAAAAATGTGTGAAAAGGCTGATCAAAAAAGCAAGATTAGAGTAATGAAGATTCTTCAACTAAGAATTTCTGTCGCAGTACTTGCGCAGACCGACTGAAGTACGAGCCAAGGACAACCAAGTGACGAAGTCCTAATGAAAAATTTGAACAATCTGGAAAATCAACGAACATAACGTCTCGTTCGGTTTGCAATAATTGGTGAGCTGAGAAGGTCACAAAAATTAACAGCACAATGTCTTTACTTAACAAAGTTTAGTTTCAACAAATGCGATGATGTTTTTTGGTTGTCAAGTGGTTTGCTTAATTGGATAGCCTGCATTACACATATCTAATGCATATCGGTCGAAGGATGCTACACGTTTGAGGAGTAGCTAGCTATATGTACTCCTTGAGGATTATGGCATTTCTTTAAAGGCGATGAGCTCCACTCCTGGAATTCTTTCCAAGAACAAGTAGAATTACGTTCCTCACCGTATAAAAATGCATTTTTTAAGGATCTATGTCTTGACGCACCATCCTACCAACCATGGTATGCTAGCGCTTAAAGGCACAGTCCCGGCAAATTCTGAATAGAGAGAATTTCGGCTTACCTGGGCTTATCCGACCCGCCGATTTTGACTGTCCAGCTCACAAAGCGCGAACATGTTAGAAATGGGCTTAGGTTGAGTTCATATTCATTCCGAAGTTGCGAAACAGTTCCAGTACAGTGCGAGAACTGTATTGGAGCTGTTCCGGAAGGGAGACGGCCCTTCTGAACCCACCGTCCCCTACAGCAATTTAGAACTAGGACGCGCGCGCATGCACTGCGATGACTGCGGACGAGTGCTCCGCGAAGGGCTCGTATTTTCGAAAATCACAAACTCCTTTCGTGCGGTTCTTGCATTATGGAATGCAAGGCAATCACGCTGATTTCAACCAAACACAGCTACCATCCTCTAAATGTTTGGTATTCTGAGCCCTATTTCTCAGCAGGTATGTTTATGATTTATGGGACATTTTCGAAGTCTTTTCATTTCCATATCCACAAAAAACTTCTCATGAATCTCTTTTGAATTCTTTCGAATGTTTTTTTGCTTTTTTTCCACTTATGTGTGTGTGCGATCCTTATAACGTCGTGCATTGTCACATCATACTGCTAATGTGAGCTGCTTGATGTTATTGAGGAAAGCCCACGTAATCGAAGTTTGTGTTACAACTCTTTATATAGGCCAATTATAATTCAAATTGGTGATCTATGCTAATTCTCAAATGCGTATTTCCTTCTGACATTTCAGTGCCTCTCTGTAGCTTTCCAAGAAAATTATTTCCGTAAAATTCTCATTCCTAGCAGAATTTATGAACGTGCATTTGGAATTTTTACGCTATAAAAAGCATGATGCGTGCAGCAAAGAAAAGGTCGCTACCAAAATCAATCCATGTAGATCACGCTACCAAATGAAGGTGATGCATTTTTATTTGATTGCGTTTTTGATATGGACGGTGTAAAAAAACTCCATACTCATCATAAAAAACGTATGCTTCCCTACTGGCATGCATGTAGTGCACATTTCAATTGAATGTGACTAGATGGTGCTGCAAGGAGGCAGACGTAGGAAAGTAGAGCATGCAATCGAACTAAAAAAAACAGTAAAATAAATCGAAAAAGACATTGAAAATGTCTCATAGGTCAAAAACATACCACTAGAAAGTGTCCGGAGATTTAAGTAGTGTGCAGTAGAGCGAATAACTTAAGTTATTGAATTCTAGGGAGTTTGGGGAATTTAGGAATTTTCTAGAGAGTTACCTTCAGAATCTCATTGTGGAGTAGGTCACCAGCGATGTGAAACTCGTCCGCCTCCGCAGCGCGTCTGCCCAGGTCAGCCGCTCGCTCCCGCGAGCTAGCCAATCATGGAGTGACCTCTAGCGCTGACCTCTTATAGCCGTCGCGATTGGGGTGGTTCAGAAGGGCCTACACCCGGTGGCCTGTTCTCCAGCTACCGATTGTGCTGCGTCCAAGGTGAGTATTAGTTCTTTGGCTCTGGTAATGTCTTGGCTAATCTGCTCGGGTTTGTTTTGTTCCTGGCACTTGACGTCTGAGTGGGTAGACACTTATGACTTCGTCTTTCCAGGCTCCGAAGAAGGCGTAGATGGCCGCAACGTCGACGTCAGCCAATAAAAGTCATCATAACAATCTTGGTCAAGCTCAGCAATCTCACCGAAAAGTACCCACAACAATGCCAAGATGGAAGGAAAGCCGAACATTCACCATATGAACGTGTAATGTTAAGATATGATTTCGACCGACATCACATGAGCAGTGGAAACTGGCAGGTACTCAGAGGCTTAGAAGGTGCTGAATGAAGTTTTACTTGGAACTTACAAATGTGGATAATATTAATAAGAGACCCCGTGATGATTATAGAATTATTGTTGCAGATAAATCCGTAAGTCTTTATCTATGGAGTATGTACAATAAAAAAATTTGTTGCTCAATTGTGTCCATTGTGCCCAGAAGCACAATAAACATATACAGTGTAGCACAGTGATAAGAATAGTATAATTGATGTTAGGAGAAATTTCTAGGGCAGTAAAGTTGAAACTACGATATTGAACATTAAAGCAAGGTCAGCTTTCATTTAGTAAAACTTCAGTAACTTGCACAGCTCGCTCTCCAGTATAACTCTCGCATAATTGAGCCGAATCCAATTTTCTGAACCTAGATTCGGACTCTGGCCTTTGAAAGCTATACAACAATATATAATTTGTGAGGTTCAATATTTTTGCCAGGTGAGGTAGTTTCCACAGGTCCAACGGTAACCCCCCCCCCCCTCCACGTCAGAGCCCCATATCTCCACAGTGGGGCATTTCATGATTTAATTTTTTGATCTTCAAGAGGGAGGCATTTAGTATTACCTATACCCTCGCAAAGAGATTTCAGGGGACTAACTCAAATTCAAAATTCACCTGTGCTTTCCAAGCGCCTTTTATTCCTTGCTGTAACTCTTCTTCAGTACATCCGATCTCTCTGCGAGGGTATAGGTAAGACTCAATAAGCTTCCCTCTGTAAGATGTAAAAAACTGAAACATGAAATGTCCCCGTCGCCGAGATATGAAGCTGCAAAAAACCCATCAAAAATCGATTTTCTAAATATAACTTTTGTATAAGTAAATAAATCAAAACGAAAATAGTATAGGTGGATTCGTCTCCTCAAGAGCTTTCGAATGTTATATAACATGGGGGGTTTGATGCTTCCGGGTTGTGGGAAGGGTGGGTGATCGGCCCAGTTATGCGTGCTCACCCCCCCCCCCCCCCTTCGCCTCTCCAATTAAGGTGGCGGGGGTGAGCACCCTGAACTGAGGCTGCTCACCCACCCTCGCAGGGCTTAAAAACATAGGAGCCCCACATGTTATATATCAGTCGAGAGCTCTTGATGAGTAGAAACTACGTATACTCTTTCCACTCAAATTCGTTCACACACAAGTTATTTGCGAAAAATCGATTTTTGGAATGATTTCTGCTCTATTTGCGACTTTATAATTCTAAGAGGAATTCCTTTTAGGAACTACTTTCTTTGTATGTGATAGAGGAAAGGTTCCTCACTAACACCTATATTCTCGCAAGATGACATTCTGCAACTTATAGGCTGCTGCATAACGAAGGCGCAATATCTTTGAGCGCAAACGCGGCTTTATTAGCCGCAGGGCGCATGAGGCGCGGGATTTACAACGGTGAGGATACGCGCGCCCCGCGTTCGCGCCCGCTCAACTAATACTGCTTCTGCGCCTTCGCCATGCAGCAGCCTTAACTCAAGTTATACTAATTCAAAAACTGACTTTCCTTAAATATGGCCAACTTTGTAAGTTCAACTGTACTGCCCTAGAAATTTCTCCTGACATCATTTATACTATTTTTATCATTGTTCTGGACTCTATATGTTTATTATGCTTTAAGCGAACACAACTGAACAACAAATTCTTATATTGAACTGCGTAAATAGCGACATAGCAATTTATTTGCAAAAATAATTCATGATCAATGCAAGGTCTCTTATTAACATCATTCACACCAATATTTTCCAGGTAAATCTGTCCATCAGCGGCTTTCAAGCCTCTAAACATCTGCCATTGTCAGCTGCCCATGTTGTTGTCGGTCGAAACCATTTTTATAAGATTCCGCGTTCGATCCTTTCTAAAAATGCATTTTTTTCTTTATTTTTGTAATTTCGTGTGCAGTAATTCCTCACCTTGAAAAGAAATTTTTTCGTCCGTTCCAGGTGAGGGGAGGGGGGAGAGGGAGGGGTGACCCGACCTCCAAAGTGAAGGGTGGGTGAGCTTTTGCTCTTTTGAGCCTCACCCCATCGCACCTATGTTTCTGAGGAAGTTGTGCTCCTGAAAAAACACACCTAAGAGAAAATACACGTCATCTATGCTGTTTTTACCATGTCAGTCTTCTGCAATCGTAGAAGAACTCGCACAGACTCAATAATCAGAAACTCGCCAATGAAGGGTTGTTCCTCTCCAAAATATGTCCCTTTGAGAATACAGAGGTGAGAATGAGGAGGTAAGTACTGTTCAGGTCGGTGTGCAAGGGAGGGGGAGAGGGAAGGGGCTCTCGCTCCACCCTGCTTTTCAATGGCAGACTGCGCAGTACAGTTGGAAGCATAGGGTATTACAGTTCGACCGACGTTCACGCGTTTACACGCGCCCTTTGAAAAAATTTGTTCCTGTTTTCGCGCTTTTTGAGATGGATTATCGGACTTGGCGGATAAGCTCAAATAAGCAAAAGAGCTATAGTTGATTCGTTGACCGCACGGACTGGACATCACTGCGGAGCACGCGTCGTGAGTTTTAATGCTTGCCCCAGTACAAATTCGCCATTGTAAAAGGCGTGCTCTCGCGACAATCCAGCCGCGCCGCACGTGGTCTGCAGCGTTTAAGCGTCCGTGCGGCAACAAATCGACGATAGATAGTGATTTCTTCTCGGACACCGCCTGCAACGCAATTTACGACGAGGCCAGATTCTCAGTCAGAGAATGAATGATATATCTTCGATGCCAGCGGAACACATAGACTACCTTTCGCTTCGTTTCACTGGGCTCCTCTATCAATTTATCGGTTTGTTTACGTACTTTAAAAACAAAAGCTTATTAATCATCAATCCTATTACTAGTAAACAATAAACTTGGTGTCCGCAAACAATATATTTGATGAATATGCTTTGATACGACTTGCTCTGTTATGTAGCCGCAAGGCAATAGTGAAGTATCATCGAGCTTGGCTGACTTAGATATTTGGAGCAGCTTTTTTCAGCAGTTCAGCTTTTTTATATGATAAGCCTTTTGCATTGGCTTTTGATATTTCAAGATTGTTTTCATTCTTTGTAGTAAATAAGTGTTCCGCAGGGTCTGATAACAAGATGTCCTAGTCTCAAGCCTGCAGAAATGTACGCAACTTCAACAGTTGTTCAAATTTTTTTGGGCATGGTTACAACTTCCAACTTTAAGCTCTTATAGTCTTTTCTGTGGTATGTACCATTTGATTCAACTGGCTTGGCATCGGCAAAGGCGGGGTTCGTGACCTAATTAAGGCTAGGTCATGATCAGAGAGCACTCACGCGAGAGAGACGCAGGTGCGTCGCGGGCGCGAGCGGCCTCAATTAGATCACAAAACCCCGCCCTAATGGTGCCAAGCCAGTTGAATCAAATGTTATACAGCTCTTAACGGAAACGTGACCAGTTTAAGAACATTTGCTTTCACTAGTGCTTGGTCAGAAACGATATGCGATAAATATCAATAAGAGACTCTTTGGTCCGCATCTTGTCGTTTTTGAGTGGATAGAAGCATTATTGAGCAGTGTTAGAAAAATAAACCTCTTGAGTGATTTGCAAAAACCGCTTAAAAAGAAGTTAAAGGAGGAACTAGCACCTAGGGCATACAATAATTTTGTATCTCTGTATTATTGTATCTCTGTATCTATTGTAGTCCTCGAACAACGTTTACAACGGCAGATGGAGAATGCCCAGGTGTAGCCGTTGCTTTCTGCGACTATATCGACTAATTAGACACCATCAAATGCCTCCTCTTTCCTTCACCCAAACAGTGTACTAAGAGGCATCATAATTTTCTCACTTTTGTTCTACTTATCTAGGCTTGCAGACATCAATCGGTGCTTGTCATGAATCAGGACAACCCTAGCTGCCTGATTGTCAATACTCTTTTATTTGCACAAATGTGTGACATACACATTCCTGAAAATTTGAGCTGTAGAGGTTTTTTTGGATATTGAAAAGCTGCTGATGTCGCATTAAGGCTGAGCAAGATTTCAAATTTATGTTGCTCTTTCAAATTCGGACCGACTCGCTAAAAAAATTTTTTTACTGAGAAATTTACCATATGGAAAGTGCAGAGCTATTTTTATGAGCTCATCTCCTCTCTCATCAAAAATATGGACAGAATGTTCAGGAATGACTACTTTTACAGGGTACATACATACCCTTTACATACATGTTCATAGGTTGCAACGATAGTGGGAGCAGAGGAGTAGAAAAAGAAAGGTTGTGTCACGAGATATTAGTGGAGTGCAGGTGAAGGCGTGACTGAAGATTTCGGCCAGAAGGTAGCAGCGATGATAGTCGTAATTTCTTAACCCATTGGCGAGTTCCCATTTCGAAACTTCACAAGCAGTAGTTTTCACTTGTGTACTTGAGTAGGTCGATTGCTTTGGTTTTTGTAACGTTGATGACTCAATGCAAGCGTTAGAGCACCCGCTTACTGTCTAAACATCATGCTTTTCAATGCAGTCTCGCATACTCAGTCTCCTTTGTCCGCTCTATCCAAGCTTTTTTGGTTCAGTAAACAAATTTTGTTTGTCTGGCTGTCGCCTCGTACTGTATTTAAAAATTCCGAGCTACCTAGCTAGCTACTCGCCTGGCTATTTGCACGATGGACCTCAGAAACTACATTTCGTCAGCTGTTCACGAAATTCTTTATGACAGAAAGGACAAAGCCAAATCAAATGAGCAGCACATTCAGGAGTCCAGAGGTAAACTTGATTTTTTCTTGAAGACGAATGAATGAAAGCACTATTTTAGGTGGCATCAATAATGGCAGTGGTTCTTGGCAAGGAACTGGAGCAGGAAACCAGCCGAATCAACAGCATGGACAATACGGATGGTCAATTGGTTACAACCCCTATCTCCCAAATCGTGCTGAGGGCTACACGCCTCTACCACCAAACGAAAGACAATCACCCTTACACCCTCCGGGACAACAATCATCTATATATCCTTCAGGACAGTTGAACCAACATATAGGAGCGGAGACTGCCTTCGGACAACAACCATCTATGTATCCTTCAGGACAGCTGAACCAAGATAGAGGAGTGCAGACTGCCTCGGGACAACAACCACCTATATATCCTTCAGGACAGTTGAATCAGAGTTTAGAAGGACAGACTACCTTTGTGACGAGTGATACACCATCAGTTCTGCCCATTCCGAATTTCAATCCTCAAGAGGACGCAGAAAAGTTGCACAACTTTTTCAGTACTTCCCTTAATTCAGAAGTGGTTGAATTTCTTTGCTCGCGCACCAACTGGCAGAGGCAAGAGATTGCGCAGGCTTTTCAGTCACTTTATGGAGAAGAGCTCACAAAGCACTTAATGTCCGATTTCAACGCCGACTTCAAGGACATCATTCTAGCATTGATGGAGCCTACGTCAGTTTACGATGCGAGGCAACTACATAAAGCGGTCAAAGGAATGAGCACAAATGAATCTGTCCTCATAGAATGCATGACGTATATGACATCGCGCAACAATCAGCAAATATCCGAAGTACGTAGAGTTTATAAGGAACTTTACAATGTGGATCCCACAAAAGATTTAACAGTAGGAAATCATGGCTTGCAAGATCATCTCGCATCACTTTGCGCTCATGGCAAGGCAGATAATTTTAGCAGTTTAGGCACTTCGAAGAGCTGCGATTTTTATCGCGCTAGAGAAGAAGTAGCGACCAGGAATCTGCATGATATCAATGTGCAAAGAACGGAAAATACTTACAATCAGAGGAGTGCTGTAACAGAAGAATCCCACAACGTCAGAGAGCATCATATCAATACCAGCAATTTCAGCAGTGAGACTCGTAATTATCAAGCCGAAACTTCCTACAGCAACGAGCACCATATCCGAACGGAAGCTGGTTTACAGTACGGTCACCCAAGTCAAATGTACAACCCCTACGAAACCCGTCCTTCTGTTACTGAAAAAACTTACGGAGATAATCGAAGCTCTGTCGAGACGGACGAGTCTCTCCTTAGCCACATCCTATCTGCTGGGAGCATGCAAGAGCTGCGGAAAATCTTTGATGGATACCAGAAAGAATCTATGCAAACAATCGAAAAAGCTATTGAGTCGCAGTTTTCTGGCTACATTCGTGACGGTCTTCTAGCTGCTGTCGGCGTGTCACGTAATAAACCAGCTTACTTTGCCAAACTTCTCTATGAAGCACTCAATAATCGTGATTCTAAAATCAATGACCTCATACGACTGATCGTAAGCCGAAGCGAGTACGATATGGTGGATATAAGGAAGCAGTTCCAGGAATTGTACAAAACTTCTTTGGAAGAAATGATCAAAGCTAAATGCTCAGGAATATGCAAAGATGTACTTGTTGCTCTTGTTAGAGGTAATTACATGATTTGATGAGGATTTCGCGCGTAGCGAGAACTATTTAATGTATGATTGCTGAGTACCATGACATTTGCTGTTGATTTATTCCGTACTTCTCCAACTTTAATTTACTTAGCATATTTGACATGGGGTTATCAATAAATTTTTCACTTATAGAATAAAGTACATACTTGCCAAATATTTTATGTGATCTAAGATCGACTTCCAAGAAAGTAAACATTGTTTTCCAATGCAGTTGTCACACAAGCATTCTCTTCTCCTCATGTGCACTCACAAGTCACACTCAAATACACACTGAGGTGAAAGTACAACACTAGGCAAACGCCAGTGGAAGTAAACCAGCTTGCAACTACAAATCACAGGATTTCTCTTTTTTCACTGCATATTCTTGGAGGAAGAACAAGGCAAATTTCTCAACTATTTGTTAGGATAAAAAACCAATAGGCAGTCTATGTATCTGTGAAGCCTGTAACTTGCAAAAATCATGAATCGGATACAGGGACCCTTTCTTGGATTGTACTCACAAGGGAAGTTCGCTTAGTCGAAGTGGCGATTCGGAAGGAGATCTATACCAGTGGATAGAGCTCAAAAAGCTGATCTCAGATATACCTTCTATATCTGCGATGCGTTGTCCTGGGAGAAGTTATGAGCTTTTCTAAAGCCAAATTTTCGTGCATTTTGAGTCCCAAAATCATGATAGTCGCTACACAAAAGTGTGCAAGCTTAAGCAAACCACCTAGTAAGCACTGTAGTTCTAATTCGAGTTCATCCGAACGTTTTCGAGTGTTTTCCGACCATGTTATGTATTCACAGGCCTTCATTTCCTTCCTAGATCACACTTCCATTATGTATACAAAAAAAGCCCATAACCTCCATCTAGAAAAGCGCGTCGCAGATATTGAAGATATATATGAGAACGTCGTTTTACGTTCTATCCACTGGTCGCTTCCAAAAAGTTTCCGACGCGACGCGTTTTTCTAAATGGAGGTTATGGGGCTTTTTTTTGTATACATAATGGAAGTGTGATCTAGAAATGAAATGACGACCTGCGGATGAACAACATGGTCGAAATACATTCGAAAGCGTTCGGATGAACTCGAATTAGAACTGAAATGCTTACAAGGTGGTTTGCTCAAGCTTACACACTTTTGTGTAGCGATTATCATGATTTTGCGTCTCAAAATGCACGAAAATTTGGATTTAGAAAAGCTCACAACTTTTTTCAGAGCAAAGCATCGCAGATATAAAACGTATATCTGAGATCAGCTTTTTGAGCTCTATCCACCGGTACAGATCTCCTTCCGAATCGCCACTTCGACTAAGCGAACTTCCCTTGTCAACTGAATAGAGGAAGAAGTTTTGAAACTCGGAAACGGATCCCTCTATTTCCGATAAATTATGAGCCTTGTCACCAGAATTCTTATGCCAGTATTCTCTTTTTGAATCAATGCATAAACTTTGAACATTAACTTTAAATATCGAATAACCCCTTTGAACCTCTAGCCATACTCATGACTTTGACCTCCTAACGTACACCTAACCATGCGGGGAGACGTTTTCATGCTGAGAAAGTGCGATACATGTGATCACCATATCGGGTAAACCCTTACAGACGAAGTTTAAGCAGAATCCGCGAAAAAATTTTGGGCCCGGATAGCCGAATAGCGCCAAGGCTTTTTAAGGTTGAAGTGGCAGTGAAGGGCGTATTTTCGCATCACATTAGGCATGTTTTCGTGATCTAGACTGTACAACGACTCATTCCAAAAAGACATTATTTAGTCACAAACCAGCAATGAGTTTCGTCCTTGTTTTTGCATGATTATGTTCAAAAGACCTGCGTAAAAGACGGCTGGTAGTACAAAAGCGAGGTGAGATGCACAGAAGTTTTCTACCAATTTAGCTCTGGAGCACTGTCAAGCCGCATTGTGGGGCGATGATGTCTAAATGCAGAATAGCCGGATCTAGGTTCCTAGCTGAGGCTCCAGTCTTCCTGATAAATTTGATAGTCAAACTTCGTAACTGATTATACTCTCGGGCAGGGGAGTAAACAAGATAGCTCATGAGCATAGCAGTAACCTATCCCTTTGCGTTAGCTGGTGGCACAACATGCAAGTGGGCTACTCCTCCATCGGAACCACATCAAGGAGTGTCATTTTGGGTGCTGTTTTAAGCTCTAAAAAAAGAAAACATTGTTCAAGACGTTTTTATTGGACAACGAAAAAAATTTTTTTAGTCACAACTTTTGATGACAGTGTTGAAAAAATTTAACTTTTCTCAATGGAAAAGTGCAATGATCATACTTTAAGCGCCACTATCCGCCCTTTAGCTGCTAGTTATTCTTGTTTGGCTACGCATCTTCCAGCCTCAATGCTGCTCAGGATATGGCATCGTCTAAAGGGAGAACCTCGATGAATGATGCAGCAATTTTCCAATTTCTTTCCGCTGGCTTGTACAACGACGGACCTCCCACAAGTCTGATGAAGAGTGCGTCTTCAGCAAACCTCGCGCAATTTTGAAGAATCACAATCGCTACTTGATCTAGCTTGTGCTAGATGGCTATACTCACGAGGATCTCAAGTGCATTGGCGCATAGCTTTTGGAAGTTGACGCAAATGCGACAAGTCTAACTTACGCAAAGCGCACTTGCGAAGAATTGTGAACATATGTAGCAATATTAATTCGCGCAACCGAAATCGTTCGAAACATGCCCGATGCATAACTGCTCAGCTTCAACAGACACTGCAGCAGAAGCTCCATGCTCATGTCATTCCGTGGTCCTGTGTGACCTTTCGGTAGTGTCAGACGTAGCCAATCAAATTTTAGGGTGTTCATGTTGACAGTCTTAGCTTCTGCTCCTGATCTTTTTAGCCCATCGTGATTGCTCGTATATAACGAGTTCGTTTTCACACCCGGGTTGTCACTAAGGTCTGGCACAAGCCACCATCTTCTCTAAAAACAAAATCCTATTTCAATTTAGGCTCACAAAGTGATTTCCAAGAAACTCAGATCTATTTGTTCCCATCTCAAACATAATAGTCTTTTTAGGCTAAAATCCAACGATAAGTTACCAAATGAGGGTACCGGAAGTATATCAATATTTAGTTGGAAGCAAAAAAGCGAAGAGCAGAACAAGGAAATTAAGTCATGAAAAGCTTTCTGGTAAAAATTAGAAAAGCCCAAACGAAAACAGAAACAATATTAGCGCTCTTAATCTCTACTTTGCACTAAACTGCTAGTTTATGAGTCCTCATTTTGATTCTCAAACAAAAAAAAAGAATGCTTTGGAATGATCTCTATTGGGAAGGAAGATTATTGACTGCGCAGGAAGTGCAGAATAAACTTCGAGAAATGAGAAAGTTATGTTTCATGGACTTAATCGTCATGTTGGCGATTCAAAAGACGTTTCATCTGCGAGAGGGTACCGCATCATATACAAGCATTTCGAGATATAGATCCATAGGGTCCCCTATGGATCTGTAGTATGCTAATTGAACACTTATTTGTCAATAAAACAGCGAGTGCAGAGTGCCCAGCTTCGTCAGCTTAAAACATGAACAGCGACACTTTTTTTGCCAAAAAATGCGCCGGCCTTGGCCGCCACTCGAGGCTTGATGAGGACATAAAGGGTATCCCATTCTGTGCGCCACGTTTGGCGCAGTCGGGTCCTCGCAGACCGCCTCGCTTGGCCCATTCGCCGCGTTCGCGCGCGTGTCTCGGGGCATCTCGCATGTGGTATTTTCCGCATAGGGCGTGGCGAATAACGTATCTTAGGCATCGATGGCTTACGAATTTGGGAAAATGCCCTAAGCATGTTCGCGAACATGGCGAGCGGCCCAAGTTAAGCGGCTTGCGAGGACCAGAGCCGCGCTGAATCCGACATTCAGAATTGGAACCCCTGTAAGCGCGCGTAACTTGGGTAGTTGCAGCAACATAATCATATTGTCGAGTCGTTGAACGCAAGAACTGGCCGTAGAGCAAGCACCGCCCTGCAAACGCTTGTAAAAGTACAAGTTGCTTACGTATATATAGTCGAATAGATCTTCCGCTTAATTTAGTGTGCTTGCGCTGCATGTGAACTGCGGTAGGATTTGCGCGTGAACAAATAGCTGCGTTGTGACGCCGGCCAACGCCGGCCAATCGCCAATAAAATGCGACTTTACTGACGTGACTATCTGCTCACGTGCAAATTTTACCGCGCCTTACCTGCAGTGCAAGCACACTCTCAGACAGTCGATCGGACCCCTCCGGCGCAGAAATGGCAGGTTTCCCCAGCGGGGGGTCTGCCACTCGTGCGCCGGAGCCCTCCCATTTGTGCTCCGGAGACCTTTCATTTATGCTCCGGAGCCCTGCCCTTTTGTGCTCCGGAGCCCTCCCATTTGTGCTCCGGAGTCCTCCCATTTTGTGCTGCGGAAGGCTGCCGCGGCATACTGTAACTAGCCCTAATTAAGCTGCAAACCCCAATTATGTCTCTAAACCCCACCCAAATTAGCCGAATACGACCCCCCCCCGGGTAGGACTTCAGCGCGACCCTCACCCCCGTACTCTACCCCCTCCCTCTCACCCCTTGCGTTTGTAGATAGAAAATAGGAATGAAGACAAGACGAAACATTTATTCAAATTGATTGCAAAAGGATTTACTGAAAATTGCAGTTGTTTTAAGTTGCATCCAATTCTGTTTGTGCCAGATGTGATGAGATGCAGTTCGATCACTACGGGCTTGGTTATCGGGAGGAACAGCTCCGGTCGAGTTCAACGTTGTGTGGTCCTCGAGCGATTCTTCCAGAAAACGCACTCTGATAACATAGGTGGAGTGGCCGTGGAGGTTAATCGGAATTTTTTCAGTGATAGGTGTCGTAATTTGTGGTTTTTCCAGGTTTAAAAGTGCGAAGCTCTTGCATCGAACTGTGGCCGATGTCTTACGCTGAATGCCGAAGAGTATGAATGTAGCTGGTGTGTTATAGACAACAGATGTGTTAGACCAATGGCATGCTTGGC